TTTTTCGGCAGACAAGGGCGAGCAGGTTCTTGTGGACATCGAAGGGAAGACCCACACGGAAATTGTCCAGCACGTGAAGAAGATCCTGGGGAAGACTGAGTAAGATATTCTGAGCTGCTACTGAAGCCTCATAGGAGGCAGTTTACTTTCTCACCACTAGAGGGCTCCTCCCCTGCTTGATGGTCCCTGGCCTGCCAATTCCATTGATTTGGATTTGTCCTTTCAATCATGGAGGCTCAGCGTCACATGTGGGCGTTGCCTAGGGTGGCTTACATGCAAATGCAGCCTCCCTAGGAACCCCCCCTTATCCAGACTGATGCCCTCCCATCAATGCATTTTAATGATTTTATAACTCCTCCCAAGAGCCAGCCCACTGCTTGCATCAGGACTGAGGGCTTCTTCCACGTTCAGGTTCTCCGGCCATCTTGATTGGCCAGGCCACGATGATGTAACTCAGGGTGGTTTATTCATCCCTGCATAGGATTATACACAATTTTAATTTTATTACCTAAATGGGGTAATACAGGGGTACAGGTACTCTTAAAAACTAAAAAGTTTTTCTTTAGAAGCGCCAGGGGCAATCCTTATCCCTCACAAGGAAGGAGTACTGGGCATATGTGCAGGGCGCAGCCCCAATACAGTCAGGGGAACTGGGACATCTGAAAAAAAGCACAAAGAGGGGCGCCTTTCCTGGTGCAGATATGTTTATTCCAATAAGCAGGTTTAAAAAGTAAACTGACAGGTACTCACAAGATTAGAGTAATAAGCTACAGAACAATAAAACCGGAGCAGTAAAAGGATCTGTGTAGTGCGTCCTGTGTGTAAATCACTGAAGTGTCGACGCGTTTCCGGGGCACGTCCTGATGAAGGGGGCGTTCCCCCGGAAACGCGTCGACACTTCAGAATTTATTGGAATAAACATATCTGCACCAGGAAAGGCGCCCCCCTTTGTGCTTTTTTACTCTTAAAACCACACAGGGACTCGTGTACACACACAGACACACAAAAGTTGAACTTGATGAACCTGTGTCTTTTATTTAACCTTAAATATTATGCAAGTTCCTCTTTAAGTCATCAGCTTGATCTGACCAATGTATGTGGACCTCCTCCCCCCCCCACTGTGTGCCTAGCAACCAATCGCCAAACACGATCATGGTCACATGATTGGACAAGAGGCATTGTTCCCTCTCAGGTTCCGATACAAGTTACATTCTATACTTTTCTTTCTGTCTTCAGGGAAACCCTAAAAGCCGAGGAGGAAGCCAAGAAGGTTCTGTCCCACCCAGCAAACTTTGGCCCCAAGAAGTACTACCTGCGGGAGTGCATGTGCGAGGTGGAAGGTCAGGTGCCCTGCCCGGGGCTGGTGCCGCTGCCGAAGGAGTAG